CATTTTGTTTTGGTGGGTCCGGGCTGGGGATTCGAACCCGCCACCTTAGGTGTACGTGGCTGGCGCCTTAGCCGGTTGAGCTATAGGTGCCGAGCCGACTCTGTCTCTTTCAAAAAAGAAAGTTCAGAAGTGAGTTATCTTTCCAACCAGCCTTTTAAGTCTGTGCAGTATAGATATAACTACTGTTTCTGTCCCTTCCTGCTGCTGTAACAAAACATCAGAGACTGGTGACATATAAACAGCACACTCAGTTCTGGGGGCTAGAAGTCCAAGGTCAAGGCTCTGGCCAGGTTGGTATCTGTGAAAGTCTGGAATCAGCTTCTGAAATGGCACCTCCTGCTGTGTCCTCACAAGGCAGAGAGTGGTGAGGGGCCATTTTATGAGGTGGCTTAATCACCTCCTGGGGTCCCAACTCTTCATTGTCCTGGGAATTAAGTTTCGATGTGAAATTTAAAGAAGATGGACCTGCAGCCTATAGCATCTCTTTAAAGGCTTGTCTTTTCTGGATAGAGTCCCAGCATGCTCAGGCTCAGCTCTGGCCCCTTGATGCATGTTTCTAATTAGCGTGCTTATGGTTGTTCACATTCAATATGGAAAACAAAGTGGCTCAAGACTTTAAGTGAAATGCAAATTGACCTCCTAGGAGGAGAGAGGGTTTTACTGACTCTCTACTCCCCCAGTGGCCCAGTCTGCAGACCTGGCCCTTGCTTTCTTGTCTAGTCCACCATGTGGTATGTGGATACTGTGGTTGGAGATGCTGCTCTGACCCCCACTGCACCCCTAGCCCTACTTGGGCTTCAGTCCACTCCTATTGAGCTTTCTGGAGGAACTCAGATTTAGTCAGCCCCTGCCCTGTACTGCAGTGGTAGCCAGGAGATAATTTGTGCTCCTAGGCCTGCTGAGTCTCAGGGAGCTATGTCTGAGTCTGAACAGGGAACAGCACATGGGGCCAGATTCCGTTTGGGGGGGGGCCCCTCAGCATTGTGTCCATGGTAGACAAGTTGCACCAGCCACCCTGCTGCCCTGTTGAGCCTGGGTCCTTGGAGGCTGCCTATGTGAGCCCAGAGGACATCCTGTGGCTTCCTTGTGTGGCGTTCCCAGTAGGCCCATCCTCTTTTCTGGGCACTTTGGGTGTCTGATGTGCTACATCTCTCTCTGATTGAAGGTGTAGGCCAGGTTGTGCTCCAGGTCGCCGCAGCCACCAACTGCAAACATCACTATGGTGTCGAGAAAGCGGATATCCCAGCCAAGTACGCAGAGGTGAGTGATTGGAGCAGGCACCCTGGGTGGCTTCCTTGCCCGAGTGGTATTTCCCTGGGCCTGAGAAGTTTGGCTGAGTTGAAGGGAGGGCTTGTGTGTGCAGTGCCTCTTGCCTTCAGCAGGTCCAGGTGGGAGCTCTGGTGGGGGTCCCTATGCCCTTGGGGTAATTGTGTGGCCTGTAGCAGAGATGACTTGGTTCCACCCCTGGCAAGGCTCCTTTGGGAAGCCCTCTCAGGCTGACAGGGCCCCTCCTAGCCAGGGGTACCTTCAGGCAGCAGGAAGGACAAGGCCCCTCAGCCTGCTGTGGGCCTCTTTGCTGGGGCACTGGCCTCCCTGCTGTCCCATTGTCCCTGGTCTGCCTGGAGTCAGGGTCAGGAGTTGGCAGTGGATGTATCTGATTGGAGTTCTTGCCCACAGAAAATGTTTGGAGTTTGGGCTGCACAGTGGATTCTGGTTGAATGAGAGTTGGAAGCATGAGTAGGCCCACAGTTGCCCCTGCTTGGTTGTGTGTTCCCTGGAGGGCTTGTTCAGAGGTTGGAGCCTGTCACTTTGAATGTCTCTGTGGGCCATCTGGGCTGCGGATGTGTGGAGGGTGTGGCTGACTTGGTCTGTAACAGGCTATTTGGTTTCTTTCTCTCCAGACCATGGACCGAGAGTTCAGGAAGTGGATGAAATGGTATGGAAAAAAGCATGCAGAATACACAGTGAGTGCCATCGCGCCATGCCCCGAGGCTACCACGCCAGCGCCAGCCCTTGTTTCCTCTTCTCCCTTCATCCTTCCTTTTTTGCTGTGGTTGACATGTGGCGCTCTCTGTTACTCCCTTCCAAATCTCATGGGCTGCCTGGCACAGCCTCCTGGGGCTGGCACGCAGGAGCCTCTGTTGGGACCTTCCCTTCCTTCCCTCTGGTGGGAACCCTTTTGTCTGTCAAATCTGGGTGGTAAACAGAACCATATGAAGGACAGGGGGTTTTTGGTTCAGTGGCACAGAGACCTCTGAAACTGGTTGGCTCCATGAGATAGCTCTAGTGTCACTTGGGGGCCCTGGCTTCTCTCCTTGCCTATCCTTGCTCGAGACCACCTTATGGAGGACTCTGGCCTCCCCATTGACAGGGTGGCAGATGTGGTGTGGATGAGGTTTCTGCCTGGCCCTTGTGTGATGTGGTCTCCTGGGAGCTGCATGGATGTGACCTGTGTAGCAGTGCGTGTGGGTGCCAAGCACCTGTTCCCAGTGGTGGCTGAGCGTTCGTTGGGTGCACTAGGGGCATGCCAGGGGTACTTTTAGGCAGCAGGAAGGACAGTTGTCATCATTCAGGTGGTTGATCATTTAGAAGGTCCTTCTAAGAGTAGCGCCTACTTCTCTGTTCTCTTGACTTCTTCCTGCTCTGTGCTCAGTGTAAGTCCCCTGCAGCAGCAGAGCTCAGCATTATGTCTGCACAAATGAGAGCCATGGCCATGATAGATGCCAGTCTCAGGGCCACATCCCAGGTGCAGGTATAGTATGTCTGCTCTGATGTCCTTGCACGTTCTTCGCCTGTGAGTGTTTCAGTCTGGATCTCTCACTTCTGCCCTCATCAGAGGCTGGATTGCTTAGGTTCTCTGGCCCTGCCTCTTGGACATGAGACCCACTCACTCTCCTCCCTGTCTGGGATGTCAGTGCAATAAGCCCGATGGGATGCTGACTGTGGAGCAGGAACCTTAGGTGTTGGGGAGTAGGAGGGAGGCTGTTGCTGTTTATCAGGAAAGAGGAGGAGCTAGGAGTGCAGGCCAGCACTCAAGGGCTCCCCTGGATCCAAGGACAGACTGGCTGTCCAGAGAGGTCTCCTGAGGCCCCCTAAAGAGACAGGAGGAGCTGTGAGGACAGGAGTAATAAGCACTCGTAGGATGAGTTGTGGTGGTTCGAGGGTCAGTAAACCCCAGTAGAGTGTTCATGACAGGATAGTCTGAGGCTATCCATTCATCCTAAGTGCTGCCAGTGACCTAGTTAGGGGTTGAAATTTGCTTGTTTTGGAGTCTAGCTGTGACAAGCCTCTCACTATTCAGAAAGGACACTGGGCCTGTCTTTATGAGCAGGGTGGGCAGCGGATTGGCCCCAGTTGGTATCTGTGGTGCTTCTTGTGTGTTTGTGCTCTCTGCCTGACAACTTTTGAGTGTGTCTGGCACTCCCTCCCTCAGATCCTGTGAAGTTCCTTTGCATCTGGTGGGTGAATGGGTAGCAGGATCCCTGAAGGCCAGAGCAGTATTGAGTACGGTAATGGTGGTGGTATCTCTGTTGAGAGCCTGGTGGGACTGGAGTTGCTAGGGCCAGTGTAAAGCAAAGCTTGAGCTGCAGTTGGAAGTCCCTCTTGGAGTTGGTACCTGCCCAGCTACAAAACTGGGGCGTGAGGAAAGTGCTGCTGGAAGTGGGTTTCCTTTCATGTGTTATAGAGGACAGTGGACTTCAAGTAGAGTTCTTTCTTTCATATTTATAGAAAAATGGAGCAGAAAATAGTTTCCCCATAATTACTGTGTGGTATTGTGGTATATTTATTGCAATTGGTAAACCAGTGTTAAATTTTGGTGGTGTTTTTTTTTTTTTTTGGGAGATAGAATCTCACTCTCTTGCCCTGGGTAGAGTGCTGTGGTATCATCATAGCTCCTAGCAACCTCAGGCTCCTGGGCTCAAGCAATCCTCCTGCCTCAGCCTCTGTGCCCAGCTTAATTTTAATTTTAATTTTTTGAGACAGAGTCTCACTGTGTCACCCTCCGTAGAGTGCTGTGGCGTCACAGCTCACAGCAACTTCAAACTCTTGGGCTCAAGCAATTCTCTTGCTTCAGCCTCCCAAGTAGCAGGGACTACAGGTACCTGCCACGATGCCCGGCTATTTTTTCATTTTTTTATTTTTATCTTTTTTTTTGTAGAGACAGAGTCTCACTTTATCGTTCTTTGTAGAGTGCTGTGGTGTCATACAGCTCACGGCAACCTCCAACTCCTGGGCCCAGGCGATTCTCTTGCCTCAGCCTCCTGAGTAGCTGAGACTACAGGTGCCCGCCACAACGCCTGGCTATTTTTTTGTTGCAGTTTGGCCGGGGCCAGGTTTGAACCCGTCACCCTTGGTACGTGGGGCCGGCTCCCTACCCACTGAACCACAGGCACTGCCCACGCCCGGCTATTTTGTTGTTGTTATCATTGTTGTTTGGCAGTCCTGGGCCAGGTTTGAACCTACCAGCCCCAGTATATGTGGCTGGGGCCCTAACCTCTGAGCTCCAGGCACCGAGCCCAGCCTAATTTTTGTTTTTTTGAGACAGAGTCTCACTGTGTCACCTTCAATAGAGTCCTGTAGCATCACAGCTCATAGCAATCTCAAACTCTTCAGCTTAAGAGATTCTTGCCTCAGCCTCCCAAGTAGCTGGGATTATAGGCACCCACCACAAGGCCCGGCTATTTTTTTGTTGCAGTTGTCATTGTTGTTTTAGCAAGCCCAGACTGGATTCGAACCCGCCATCCCCGGTGTATGTGGTTGGTGCTGTAACTACTGTGCTATGGGCACAAAGCCTAATTTTTTATTTCTATTTTATTTTATTTTTTTGAGAGACAGAGTCTCACTTTGTCACCCTTGGTAGAGTGCTGTGGCGTCACAGCTCATAGCAACCTCCAGCTCTTGGGCTTAGGCCATTCTTTTGCTCCAGCCTCCTGAGTAGCTGGGACTACAGGTGCCTGCCACAATGCCCAGATATTTTTTGTTGTAGTTTGGCCAGGGTCGGGTTCGAACCCACCACCCTCAGTATATGGAGCCGGTACCCTGTTCACTGAGCCACAGGTGCTGCCTAATTTTTTATTTTTAGTAGAGATGGGGTCTAGCTGTTGTTTAGGTTGGTCTCGAACTTCTGAGTTCAAGTGATCTTTGGCCTCTGTCTCTCACAGTGCTAGGATTATAGGTGTCAGCTGCCCTGCCCTACATAATTGTGTTACCTAAAGCCCAGAGTGGAGGTTTGTGCTGTATGCCCTGTTTGGTGTAGGCAGATGTACGGTCATGTCACTGCTCTAGAGATGTCCCGTGCTCCACTATTCCTCCCTCCCTAACTCTGGCAACCTCTGATCTTTTGATTGTCTTCGTATTTTTGCCTTTTCCAGAGTGTCCTGTAGTTGAAATCGTATTGTATGTGGCCTTTCAGCATGGCTTCTTTCACTTAGGAGTATTCATTTAAGGTTCCTTTGTGTTTCTTCATGGCTTAGTGTCTTCTTTCTGGCCCTGAATGGATCTCAGTGTCTTTTACTCACCTACTGTAGAACATATTGATTACTATGATTTGGCAACTGTGAAGAAAGCTGCTACTAATATCCATATTTGGATTTCTGTGCAGACATGTTTTCAGCTCCTTTGGGTAAGTGCTTAATAGCGTGATTGGTGTATCCTACCGTAAGAGTACATTTAGTCTGGAAAGAAACCACTGAGCTGCTTTCCACTGATACCACGCTGCTCTGCATTTCCACTACAAAGGGTGGGGGTGTATTAATTTTGTTTCTTGAACTTCGGGAGTGATATTAGTTCCAGGAGTTTCTTTCTTGTTTTTTCTGGATTTTCAACATAAATGGTCATGTCATCTGCAAAGAAAGAGTTTTACCTTTTCCTTCCCAGCCTATGCAGCTTCTGTTCTCTTGTCTTTGTGTATGATGAGAGCCTGTGGTAGAGGTTGTGGAATAGGGTAGGACAGACATCCTCACCCTGTTCATGCTCTTAGTGTGGGGCAGCACAGACCTTCTCCTATGAGGTATGATGGTAGATATCGGTGTCTGTGGACATTTCATGTCAAGGTGAGGAAATCCACTCTCTTAGTTTTTGCAAGAGTTTTGTCACGAATAGATGTTGGCTTTTTCTTTTTGATGACTTTCCAGTATCTGTTGATAGGATTGTGTGGTTTCTGTTCTCTCACATGCTGATGTGACCTTTTGATCCTCTTTATACATTGTTGTGTTTAGTTTGCTGATGTGGTCTTTCGTGTCTTTGGTGCTGGTCTCAGGGTAGGCTGGGGAGCTTCGGTGAGTTAGGAAGTGTCCCTCTGCCTCTGTTCCAGGTCTTTTTTTTTTTTTTTTTGAGACAGAGCCTCAAGCTGTCCCCTTGGGTAGAGTACTGTAGCATCACAGCTCACAGCAACCTCTAACTCCTTGGTTTAAGCAAGTCTCCTGCCTCAGCTTCCCAAGTAGTTGGGACCACAGACGCCCACCACAACGCCCGGCTATTTTTTGGTTGCAGCCGTCGTTGTTTGTTTGGCAGCCCTGGGCTGGATTCGAACCTGCCACCTTAGGTGTATATGGCTGGCGCCTTAGCCACTTGAGCCACAGGCACTGAGCCTGTTCCAGTTCTTTTGTAGCAGGACTTGCACACTTGCACATCTAGGGCTCAAGGCCCAGCTGTCCTTTCCTTCTCTTGGTCAAAGCTTCTTCCAGAATTCTCTCCCCTTAGTGAATGGTGAGTGTCATTCTCTTAAGTCCCCTCCCCTCAGTATGTGTCTGGTGCTCATCATTCAGGCTGTCCCAGTGCTAAGCTCATTTGGTTTCTATCCCAGGATGTTCCCGGCTGCCTGGTGACTGTATCAGTTGGCATCCAAGCTGGGAGTTCTCAGATGGTCTCCTGGTGGGAGAGCTGTGTAGTTTCAAGCATAGTGTGGGAGTTTCCATCCATGGGATCCTCAGCAGCCCTCAGAGCTTTCCTGGGTGTGGTGCTA